TTCTTTTTTTCCATGGAAAACAAATAACGTATATGTATATATGTATGTGTATCTCATTAAGTTAATGATTTCAACCCAAACATACATATAACTGGATTTATTAGTGCACATATATTCCTTTTAGTCTGTTTATGCTTCATGTTAGGATGGTGTGAGGGCATTTCACAATTTAATAAGGTTTCTAAAATGCAAATCATTTAATTTGAATTTTATTTAGATATTACGTACTAATTTTAACTATTGTTCTTAATGATATTTGATGATATACATACACATTCACTTATTTTTAAGACTGTACTTAAATCATGCCATGCCATGCATGCATGCATGTCGAGGGTTTTTGTCGTTGTTAATCAACCTTCCTCATTTATTATTATTATTATTTTTTTCTTATCATTACTGCTACGTATGTGGTCCTTTATTTGAACAATAGAAAAAGTTGTACTATCGAATTGGCTATGTATATGATATTTTAGTCCGTTAACGTTTTTTTTTGCTAAAATATATTTTATTAAGATCTTAACTTTTTAACGAGTTATATTCAATAATTTTCTTCCACGATTTAATAAGATATATAACATATATTTTAAAAGTATCGTCTATTGGCCTTTAATCAATATAATATTTAATAATGAATGCGAAGTCTGATATAAAGATTAGAACATTTAATATTTGGTTTAGTTTAAAATTAAGGAATTTCTTTTTTAAAAAAATAAAATTAAAAGACTTCAATTTATCTTTTTTCGATTCTCTCTTCAAATTCTCTACTTTCTCAATATGACACTTTCATTTCTAGCTTATATAAAGTCAAATGATCTATTTAATTTTCTCAATTTTAACTTGCCACGAGCACCTCTACTTTTCTAAGTGTTTCAAGTTAAAAAAGATATGCATTTATGATATATATATACGTCTATAAACAAGGGCAATACTAATCTAGTGCATTGATTTATAAATATAAACAAAAACTAATATTATAAATTTAGTTAATTAAGTTCATTGCAATTTGATAAACTAAAAAAGAGAACAATAATTTATGGTGGTCTAAGAATAGTAAAAAGAAGAAAGAAAAAGTACTTAAAGCTAATATATATATATATATATTAATTGCGAAAATAATTCTGAACTAAAGTTAAGAGGATGTTTGACTCAGCTTTCTGACTTTCAGGTTTTATGATTTAAAAAATGCTTTATAACCAAATAGAGAAAATGAAAATATATTTCTAAGAGATTTAAAATCAAAAGTTATAATTTATAATTTTTAGAAAATAGTTTTACTTTTTACAAATAATTTATATCTAAAATTTCAAAAGTTAATTTTACCAAATGCATAACTTCTATTTTTTATTTAAAGAAACAATATTTTTTTTATAACTATTTTTATTAAATATTAAATAATTTTGATTAAAAAACAATAATTTTAAAAATACTTTAAAACTCATGGCAAAACCTCAAACACCCACTAAATCTGTCCTACCTGACATATTACAAATACATTACAACTTAGATATATATATATATATATATGTGTGTGTGTATAAATTGGCCTTATCCATGCGAACATATTATAATTAATAAGTTTTTAAATTTATATAATATTTTATTTATTTATATAAAATAGCACATATTTAGATTTATAATCAATAATGTATAGATATATATGATGCTCAATAATAGTTTTTTGTAATTAGTAATTTTGAAGTTATGTATATGTATAATATTTTCATTTATTTATATGAAAATTTTTAGTAATTAGAAACATTCGATGTGATATAAGAAAATCCATATGATTTTATTATCTATCTACATAATATATAGATCATATAGACTCTTCCTTATCCATCTATCCATGTGTATATATATTATAGGAGCCCTTGGAAACAGGTGGATTGCACAAAAACCTAGTGTCTCCTCGTTTAACCAGCTGATACATAACTATTGGTCTGGTGCAGAGAGGCAATATAATGTCAGCTCATGAGTTAGAAGAAAAAAGTAGCGTAGAGATGATGAGGAGCAAAAGTAGCAATGGAGCTATTCTGACATGGAATGATCTCTGGGTGAGGATTCATAATGGCAACAAAGGTTGCAAAACCATTCTTCAAGACCTCACCGGCGTCGCCCTCCCCGGTCAGGTCTTGGCCATCATGGGTCCATCTGGTTCTGGCAAGACCACTCTCCTTGATGCTTTGGCTGGTCCGTGCACTTCCTCTCTTTCTCTCTCTCACACACACCTTCCTCTTCTCCTCTTCATTCATCATGATCTGTCTCTTTTTTCTCCAAACGGTTTTTGTTTTTACCATAAACTCATGAACCAGTTTGCATTAATTTCTCTACCAATCAATATTATTCTTGCTGCAATTATGGGTATATGATGAATTTTCTTTTTCACATCTTTAGTGAATTTTCTGTTTGTGACCACAAATAATAAGTGTACTTTTATATAGTAATAGTTAAGATCATGCATGTTCTTGGCATTGGCCAAAGAGTGAATCGTTCCAGACCCGTGATCTATTATATAAAAAGATTGATTTCATTTCTGGCTTCTGAGAGATTCTTTCAGGTTTTGTTTGCTTTTTTGTCCTTACTATATATACACTTTCGTGTACTGTCACATGCATGCAATAGTTTTCTCTCTCTGTCTCTCTCTCTCCCTGCAACCTCTTTCTTGTCTCATGCACATTATATAACATGGCAGGACGATTAGATTCCAACGTAACGGAGGCTGGAGAAATTCTAATCAACGGTCGTAAACAACCTCTAGCCTACGGCACATCGGTACACATACATATACAGTGATATATATGAACAGACATATGATACAAAAATTTCAGTCTTTACTTAACACGGGCAGTTGAATCTTAATTGATCATATATACATTTATTTAGGCATATGTGACTCAAGACGATATCCTAACATGGACACTGACTGTACGAGAAGCCATGTACTACTCAGCTCAACTACAATTACCCAACTCCATGAGCACAAGAGAGAAGAAAGAGAGGGCGGAGACGGCCATAAGAGAGATGGGTTTGGAGGAGGCCATGAACACTAGAATAGGAGGGTGTGGGATGAAGAAAGGGCTGAGCGGTGGTCAAAAGAAAAGGCTGAGCATTTGTACGGAACTTTTAACCCGTCCAAAGCTTTTATTCCTTGACGAACCAACCAGCGGGCTAGACAGTGCAGCCTCGCTCTACGTGATGAGAGGTATTGTCAACTTAGCTCCGCCGGAGAACATGACTATCGTCGCTTCCATTCATCAGCCTAGCTCTGAGGTTTTTCAGCTCTTCCACTCTCTCTGCCTTCTTTCTTTGGGAAGATGTGTGTACTTTGGTCCCCCCACTGCAGCAAATCAGGTCATTATATATATATATATATTTTATATATGTTTTTTGTTTTAGTTTTTCTCTGGTTTATTCAAACTGGTTCTTACTTGGTATTCATATTGCCAGTTTTTTGCAGTGAATGGGTTTCCCTGCCCCACTCTTCAAAATCCCTCTGATCACTTCCTTCGAACTCTTAATACAGACTTTTATAAGGTATATATATATAATATATATATTTCTACAAATTAATGTTAATTTATTCAGAGTTTTTCTTCCCTGTTTGATATTAGGAAGATAGCGAACAAGGGTTTTGTGGGGAGATGAGAGCAGAAGAAGTTATAAATATGCTTGAAAGGGCTTATCAGTCATCTGAGACGTACAAGCAAATCTGCCAGGACATAGATGAAATACGTGGACAGGTAGAGTTTTTAACACACAAGAAATATCTACATATCTATATGTATAAAATGTAACGATTATAAATTAATTTATTTAAGATTACAAATTAGTTATTAATTGTACAGAGGCGATTAAGGACATTGGAGAAAGGAGAACAAGCAAGCTTCATAAGACAGTGCGTGATTCTAACCAAGAGGTCTTCACTGAACATGTGTCGTGACCGAGGATACTACTGGCTTCGCCTTCTTATTTATATCGCTTTGGGTTTAGGTGTTGGCACCGTCTTCTTCAACGTTGGATCGGATTTCCCTTCGATACAAGTGATCACCTTCTTCTCTTCTTTCTTTTTCTTTCCCTTATATGAGTATGTATACATTTTTATACGCATTAACTATACATGTAAGTATATATTTGTGTGTACTGATTCAGGCTAGAGGTTCGATGCTAATGTTTGTTGCTACCTTCTTGACCGTCATGGCAATTGGTGGTTTCCCTTCCTTTGTTGAGGACTTAAAGGTGATATTATTTTTACTCTTTATATATCCTTCCATATATATCCAATGAACATTTCTTGTTATACAAGTAACATACATATATGTTGTGTCAAATTATAAGATTATCAAGAATATGATCAATTTACATAATCAAGAAAACAGAAGCACTGAGGACAAAATCAAGATTGCTCGAGAGAGAGAATAGTCGGGAATGAGAAAAAACTGTTGTTGTATTTTCATTAATAATGAGACAAGTATTTATACATAGAGAGAGAATGATTAATTAATCTAATTACAATTGATTATTACTAATTAAACAAATTAATCGAATAACTAATCATTAACTAGTTAACTATGTTATTAATTATTTTAACTACACTGTTAGATTTAACTGCTCTTTCGTTTTGTTTAATGTTATTATTAGGTGTTTCGTCGGGAAAGATTAAACGGGCATTACGGGGCAGGAGCATTCGTGATTGCCAACACACTCTCCTCAACACCATTCCTTTTTCTCATCTCTTTAATCCCTGGAGCCATCACATACTACCTCGTAGGTCTCCAACGAGGATACCAACACTTCATCTTCTACGCTCTCACCCTCTTTGCCTGCATGTTATTAGTCGAGAGCTTGATGATGATGGTGGCCAGCCTAATGCCAAATTTCCTCATGGGTCTAGTCACAGGTGCAGGAATCCAAGGTCTCATGATGCTCAGTGGCGGCTACTTTCGCCTCCCAAATGACCTTCCTACATTTCCATGGAGATATCCTTTGTACTTCATCTCCTTCCACAAGTATGCTTTTCAAGGACTGTACAAAAATGAATTTACAGGGCTGAGATTCCCCATTGAGGATGGGAAGAGTTACATCAATGGTGAAGAGATTTTGAAGGAGATATGGGAAGTAGAAATGGGTTATTCTAAGTGGGTTGATCTTGGTGTTTTGTTTGGGATGGTGGTTGTTTATCGAATTCTTTTCTTTGGTGTACTGAAGAGTGTTGAGAAGTTTAAGTTTGTGATGAAGAAGATTATGTCTGTTAATCCTTTCAGAAGAGCAGAGAATGTAGTGGTGATTCCTGCTGATTCGAAACTTGATGGTGATGATGATTAATTGGGAAATTCAAACATATATAATAACTTGTAATTCATTTGCGTCCAATACTCTTTGTACTTAGAAGTTGATTTTAATTAGGTCGGTTTATATATACATACATACATATACACATCTTCCCAGGGTAAGAATCAGGAGGACGCTTGGATGATAATTTAAAATTTATGGCATGAATGTCAAATAATTTAAAAAAAAAAAAAAAAAAGACGAAAGTAATAAGCAATTTTGGTTAAGATACCAAATAAATAATAACAACAATAATAGTAAAAAACAAAATCAAGCGTTACGTATCAATGAATTTATTTTTTTATTTTTGTAAAATAATAGACTTAGTTGACTAATAGCTAATAGCTCTTTTGTCAGCTCTTTCGTACCTAACTAGGGTTTTTGTTTGGCTATAGAATTCCCCGGTGACCATGCTTTGGGGCTCAAACTCAATTCCTCAGTCAATTGGCGCTGGAACTTCGGCTACTTTAGCCAAAAAACGCAGTTTCGACTCATCAAGATTCAATCTATTTGTGGGGTGCCCGCCGGTTGACATCTCTTCTAATTCGTCGATACGAGAAGCAAATTGTTGTGTGAAGGAATCAATATCTCGACATAAGCCAAGAGAAGACACCGTCCTCTGCGAAGAAAATTCAAAAATATTCAGAAACAATCGTTTGAAGAGAGTGAGATGGGTTGGAGAGGGATTCTGGGTTTTGAGTTTGGAATTGTTCAGGCACCTCTCGGACCTGACATTTCTGGCCCGGAGCTTGTAGCGGCTGTGGCTAATGCTGGTGGAATTGGTCTCCTTAGAGCTCCTGACTGGGTGGCTATATTACTTTTTACTCTTTCTTTCCCTTTATTTCTTTTTTAATGTTCTTGATTTCTCATACTCTGGTTTATGTTGCTAATTTGTATTCTCTGGGTTAATGTTGGATTGTTCCTTTTCCATGCTCTGTAATTGAGTGCTTGAACCTGGCTTAAGCTTTATAACAGAATAAATGATGTTAAATTTTCAAGATCAGAAAAAAAAAAAAAAAAAAAACTGAAAAAGAATGTAAAATTTGATGGGAACCAGAAGGAATGATGTTTTGTCTACGTTTTTCTAATATGATCATCTTTGATTGCTTGAATATATTAGTTTTAAGGATGACATGAGTCCATGACTTCCTTTCAGCTGGATGATTGTGCTTTTATTTATTCTATATTATTAGTACTTTTGAGGTCATGATTATGATTTTGTTCATGTTCATAATCACACCAATTTCATGTGAAGGGATCATTTTTGAGACTTTTGACTGGAGAAAAGGAAAGATGCTTTTTAGTAAGAAAAGTAGTACTATTCTGATTCTTGAGATTGGATTTCCACAGAGAAATTTTCCTTCGACGATTTCAGTCGCCAATTGCCTTATAGAGTCTTGGTGATTGCTTTTTTTTTTTTTTTAATATATATATATATATATGTGTTAAGATATAGTTTCTCCCCAATATCTAGGTTACAAATGCCCGCCAAAGGGATTTATTATACAAATTTGAATTTCCACCCCCAAATAATTTCTGGGACTATTCTTTCCTTCTTGTTGGTAAACGAGTGAAATTAAAACCATGCCTTGCTGAGGAATACATTAATATATCTTAGGATCACTCTGTCATTAATTGCATCAACAAGACTAGCATAAAGTTATGCTACATTATCTGTCCTGTTACATTGTCTTTAACCTAATAATCAATAATACAGATACACTTTTGTGCATTTGTAACTGATATATCTCCAACATGCTACTGTATTCTAAATGACATTTAGGCGGTTCTTATCTCTTTTGCCTTTTTTTCTTTAAAATTCAAGGAGTCCCCTGATTATGTGAGAGAACTAATAAGGAAGACTCGAGCATTAACAGACAAACCATTTGGGATTGGTGTTGTCCTTGCATTTCCCCATAGGGAAAATTTAACGGCAATACTAGATGAAAAAGTAGCAATATTGCAAGTTTACTGGGGTGAATGTTCAAGGGAGCTTGTGCTTGAAGCTCATCATGCTGGAGTTAAAGTTGTTCCCCAAGTAAGTATTGCATAACAAAATAAATATCTGCACTTTATATATAGGTGGTGCGTCTTCTGAATAAAATATCTTATTCTGAAAAAAACCTTTTCTTATTCTGCAACCTCTCACTATCAAATTTTTGTTAAGGCCATCTTGCATTAGTAACGCTTGAATCCTCAGTTATTTTGCATAATGACAAGGACACTGATTAGAATATCCCACATGATACTGATTTATCTACAGAAATTTTTTCCACTGACTTCTTAAGAGTCTTTAAATGTTCCATATTTTCACTGCTATAGTAGACAAAGGCGAGGATGCCCCAGAAGAACAATCCTCAAGATATAGGTATCACCAAATTTTTCATAGCTCCTTGTTCCCTGGCTGATGTTTTAGTTCTTCACCTATTTGGTCAGAATTCTTCACTGCCCAAGTGCAGCAAAAGTCAAATCCAATTCAAATTGAATCGTTAATGCCTATTTCCTTACTAGATAGGTAGAAATAGTTGTGAACGTTCATTTTGAAGTGGTCAAGTTGCTCTTCCGTCTTTTCATGCTGATGGGGTGTTTTTTGAAAAACTGAGGCTGCTTTGTTCTCTTCTTTGAACTCTGGATCTCTAATTTATAAATTAGTTGGGGAATCTAGTAAAAATTTTGCACTGAACATATGCCTTGGTTTTGGAACTAAACAAAATGAATATCTATTGACAGGATTTGTGCTAGGATCAATTGTTATGTTGTTCATGAATCTGTGGGATGAAACAGAGTTTTAGTAATTAACTTTAAATATCCTGAATATCTCACTAACTGAGCAATTGTGTTGTAGGTTGGGAGTTTTGAAGAAGCCGAAAGAGCAATCAGTGCAGGTGTCGATGCAATTATCGTCCAAGGACGAGAAGCAGGAGGGCATGTAATTGGTCAGGTATGAGTACTAGATGCTTGCCAAATTTCAACTTTTCTTATATATATTGATGGTCACTTGTTTCTTAAAATTTAAGCAAAATGTTCATGTGCCCATTAAATTTAACCAGTTTTGATGGGAAAAGCTCACACCTTATCCGGCTGTTTCGAACTTGAAAAAGCTGCACTGAGTTTGATGTCCTTCCATATCTAAGAGCTAGATTCTTTGAGAAAAGTTTATTATAATTTATTTATCTTATTTTCCAGTTGGTGAATCAGTAGTCAAATCTTCCATTCTATCTGTTTGACATCAAAGAAAGTGTTCTTACTGCATTTTGTAGGGTGGTCACTATTTATGTTAATAATTAAGTTTCTAATACAAGATGATGTTAGTTCGAGATCATTAATGATGCTGATATGCAGAGTGCATAGACAGAAACTTGAAGAGTTCTCAAAATGTTGCCTCCAGAAGTTCTATATTTGAAACTTGTTTTTGTTGTTTTTCCCAGGGGTGTTTCAGAATATCATGAACTGCAGCTATATCTTCAATTTTTTAGCACCTAGTAATTTTCTTCTGTGTATTCTCTGTCAAATGTCCTTTCAAATTTACATTTCTAAAAAGTGTCTTTCCTATCATTGTGCTGAATTGTTTCCAGGATAGTTTAGTGTCACTGGTGCCGAGGATAGTAGATCTTGTTGCGGATAAAGATATTCCTGTTATCGCTTCTGGGGGTATTGTAGATGCGCGTGGTTATGTTGCTGCCTTGGCACTTGGTGCTCAAGGTATCAGCCTCGGCACCAGGTTTGAGGATTTCTGAACGTATATGAAACTTGCAGTTAGATTTTCAGATTTATGGCATATCCTGAAATGGTGCATCTGCTATGCCAATAAGACAAAATCATCTTATTCAATTTCTTTTCTCATTGAACTTCATCATGGATAGATATTAGTGCTTCTCAGAAATCAGTACTTATGTTTCTATGATGCTTTTTCACTGATATGCCATTTTCGTTCACAGTTCAAACCCGACTTTCTTTTTTTAATGAAAATACTTTTCCAAATAAATTTATACTTCTTTCTTGAAAGTCTACTTGGATTGTAGATGATCTCCAAAGTATATTGCAGGTTTCTTGCAACTCATGAAAGTTATGCTCATCCTGTATACAAGAGGAAGCTGGTTGAACTGGACAATACTGAGTACACAGATATATTTGGCAGAGCAAGATGGCCTGGTGCACCACATCGCGTGCTACAGACACCTTTTTTCACTGCTTGGAAGTCCCTTCCTCCTCATGAAAACGAAGCTAACCAGCCTATTATCGGACAGTCAGTGATTCATGCCCTGTGAGAATTTATTGACCTTATTTTGTAACTCACTTTAAAAAGAAGATATAACTCGTGATGTGCAGTATTGTCATCATTTGGGTCTTGGTAATATCACCTCGGGTAATTAACAACTATATTACAAAGATGATCTAACAAATCCTTTGCCCGTAAATATACATATTCTTCCTAGATTAAATACACATCTTTTTCTTGCTGCTTATACATATATATTTATATATGCAACAAGTCCGGAGATGCACCCTTGTCTTGTTTTTATTTCCATCTTGCAACAGGAAAAAGAAATTCGTCGTTTTGCGGGTACTGTTCCGAATTTGACTACCACGGGTGATATTGAAAGCATGGTGATGTATGCCGGCCAAAGTGTGAGCCTTATAAAGGAAATTCTTCCTGCTGGAGAAGTTGTGAAGATGCTCGCTGATGGAGCTAAACGTGTGATTCAAGATAAATTTTGTGCCATCTGATATGCACCCAAACAAGGTATTCGAATCGTATCCTTGTTGGTTACACTGGCTCCAAGGGATATGTATATATATGTGATACTGTAGAAATCTGAGGATAGTTATCAGAATGGAATACAGGACCTTGATGGAAAGGTAGAATAAAGTTCTGTGGATGTGTATATGATGGTTGGGACAACTCTGCAAGTTATCCACAAAGCTTTTTTATTAAGGTTGTAGAAGCATGCTATAATCTCAACCTTACTGGTTAACTTTGTGATCTTTGATCAGTTCTACCTTAATAAGAAGCATGCTATAATGTAAAACCTTACTAGTTAATTATGATCTCTGCTTAGTTCTGACTTCATGTCAAGTTTCTGTCTTAAGCTATTTGATCAGGACGCCATGTTGGAAGATGAGGGTTAGACAACCTACTAGTATATATTTTAAATAAGTGTATTAACATCCAAGAAGCATAAGATTTGTAGGGAAACAAAACTTTCAGATTATACATGACTTTGATATTCTGTTATCTTCCCTAATAATTTTGCATTCAAGCATTATGCATATATATATAAATATATATGTATGTATATATTTGTGACAAAACATAAATAACAAATTGAAACGTAAACAAAAATGTTTAAAATGTATGTGAAATTTTGGTAAGAGAGAAAGATTGTCAAATGCAAGATGTTAAGTGGCTTTAGCCACATTAGACACAAGAATATATATATATATACACACACACACATACATATCATCTAGTCTCTCGTGTGATAGACTCAGCTGTGGATATAAAATTTTTCTCCTCGCTGTTAATTCTCAACGTGAGCCTAATTCGTACCAAGAGACTTGTAAGGATGCAAATTGGGTAAATATCATGAAGGCTGAAATTTTACTTTTGTATGTATCTAAATATATATATATATATATATATTTATATTCACTTATCATCAATCTGCAGAATAATTTATAGAATTTCACCAATCACAGATCGATTTTAACCATTTAATGTAGATAATTGTAATACAAAAATAATTTGAACAACTTGACCTTTATTAATCGGTTATGGCGCCGGGTGGGTGGTGAACCCTAACCGAGGATTATCATCAAGGAGAACAAATATTAAAAGTAAATAATCCAACTATAATAACTCTATCATCATAATACATAAATGTTTTGTATTAATTAATATATTAAGTTCAAGAATTGAATAAGATTATGTAAGTACATAATATTTTAATTTCCTTTTCTTTGATCAATATTTTCGTTCAAGTTAATCTGACAGCCATGAAATCAAATATTAATTGAAACTCAACCAACCATAGAAGGGTGATCGGGTTCCAAACAAGAGAGTCGAAGTTACAATCAGAAGAAATATATATATATACTTATATGATCAACATAAGAATGCCGCTGAAGAAAATCATAAAATGGGTATTCCCCCAATTTCTGCTGCCATTGTTGGTTCTTTCCAGCCATGGCTTCTCAAGAAACATTGTCAAGAATCTACACTGGTTTCTCTAGTGAATTGCCTAATTTTGATTATTTCACTTATTAATTACATTACATTACATTATTATGATTAATATATATATATATATATATATATAGATGGATTTCTTTTACATGGTTGCAAATGTATGTGTGTAAATGAATCTGAGATATTCTATACATTTGTGGAGTCTCACGGAAACCCTAGAAATGATCTGCTTATACTTTACTTGATTAGAGACCCTGGCTGTTCCGATTTACATGGATTTTTCTATCAAGTTGGTATCTTAACTTAATTTAAATCATTAAATTAATTAATAGTGTTTTCATCATTTAAATCGTTTTTAAAGATATAAAATAAATTAAAAAAAATTATTTAGACCAATTAAAACTCAGTTATAAATTCTTTGTATGGTTTTCTTGTGTGTTGGCGGGATAGATACGCAGTACATTTTGGCATCCTGTCTGAAAATTTTTCACCTCTCACACAGAACCCAAACCCTAATTTTTCCATTTCATGCCAGGTTTCATCATCCATCTCAAGTATATATACAAACATATTTCATTTCTTCGTAAGTTTTGTTTTGTTAATTTTCTTTTACAGGCAGCTAGAGATAAACAGCTTGGGTGTCATGTCAAGAAAATGGACCTTGGCTTAGTCAGGAAGAGCTAATGGTCATCAAAAGAAGATGGATATGAGGTCAACCAGAGGCCTATAACCATGGGAGGCCAAAGGTGAAAATACAACATATAAGTTAAACTTTTACCTAATGTGTAGGGGCATTCTGTAGTCATCAAGAATATCTCTGGGAGCAATTTGTATTGGGTGAATAAGGATAAGAATATGAAAGTCTCCCTGCTCCATTCCCTTCAACCATACCAGCCTACACCCTTTAAAGGAAACAACAATCTAAAGAATGGAAAATAAATGCAAATGCAATGGCGAAGTTTATTCAATATTAAAAGAGGGGTTCAAGAGAAACATAAAGATGAATTAATCACCCACAACTATACCTCTGTTTTATAGCGAGTATCAGGTGGTGGTATCTTTAGCCTAGCCTTCCAATCCTGTGCACTGAAGATAGACAGACATTTAATACACGAACAAGTTTATAGTAACAAATTACTAAAACAAATTAATTGTTTTATGAAAAGTAGCAATAAAAGTATGAGAAAACAAATGGCAAACAACCTCGTACTATATTTTTTTTATATATCACAATCAAATCGCTATGCAGAGTAGCACTTAGAAGTATGAACAAAAACATAGAAACTAAGCTTTGTTTCTTGGTTGGAGAATATTCTATGAATTAGAAGAATTTTTTTTTTTGAGATAAGAACTAGAAGAATTTATATAGATGCAAGCTGTCATTATTTATCTGAAGAAATAAAGTACTCATATTAGGACAAGCTATTACGTTTAATTCTCGAGTTCCCAGGTTTTAAAAGAAGATATTAGATGGGTGAATTACAGCATCAAGTTCACTCGTGCCATGGGTTTTAAAGCATTAAATCTGAAAAGACACTGGGAGGACTAATAAGCCTCACTGAACTAAGGGAGAACCCCAACTGTATTGCAATCAACTCCTAAACCTACTCCAAGCCCCAAAAAACCAAATTGCACGTGTGTGGGTATTTTTTGCTTGCACCAGGGCATCCTTTACCGGCCAGACCGAACTTAACACCTGGAACTTTCCTGATGCATAATGGAGTAAACTCTAGATTGCCTAAATAGATCGGAGATCGTAATTATATTAGCTATAAAACTATTATACTACTTAAGAGTCTATTATTATAATTCTAGAAACTTCAGGATTTTAAACATATTAGTATTTAGTTTTCCTATTTGTATTACACTTATTATTTTCCAACACTATTAATACTGTTATTTCTTGGTTTAACCATATTTAATAGAGATTACTAAGGAAACATTATAAAGATATTTTGAATCTCACTTTCTGATACGTATTCAGTTATTCAAAAATGCCCTGAGATCTTCTCAAATTTCTAGTTGTGTGATGCAATCAAATTATTAAATATGATGTTTAAGACTTTTTAAATGTGATGTTCAAGAAACCCAATGAATGATATTTAAATTTTTATCCTCAAATTCCTAACTAGGAAATTAACCCTATTCTGTCCTAAGTCAGATGGAATGTAAGCTTAAAAAAATACTAAATTCAAAATCTCAAAACCCTATATCTAAACAACCCCGAACCATATGGAAGAAAAACACATAGAAAATTGCAAAAAGAAAGACAAAACCAAAAATCTACAAACCATGACCTAGTCTACTTGTCACCGTTCTAGATCACAGTCACCAGTGGGAGTTTATCAACATAGCCGCCAACACCAGTTTTAGAACACTTTAACAGGCAAACCCGCTGCAAAACTCTATCAAAAAATGATTAAGTCATTCAACAAAAGCCTGCGGTCATCTAGTGACAAAAAGCTGGTGCATGAGCTACACACATGCCCAGCCATGAGTAACGCTTGCTTGATCTGAAGTATTCTAGTCGAACACTCATTCAAAGAAACCCACAGCTCAGTTTCTTAGCAGCACAATTGGAGACAATGCAAAACACCATCATATACAATTTAGGAAGAACAGGATACCTACGAATTGCACAAGTAACGCTACCAATCCAAAATTCAAAAGTTGCCCAAGCCACTGACAGAAGACAATTGAAGGTAATGCTAAAAATATTACCAAGAAGGAAAATATCATAGCTTCTGAGTTTAATGGACAAAGAGATCCCGACTTCTTCCTCGAGTAGCTTAACTATATGAAAAAATACTTTAATTTGTATGACATACCATATGAATGAAGGGTCAGATTTGCAAAAATAAATTTGGTTGGACGCACAAAGTTATGATGATACAACATTATTGAGAATATAACAAAGAGACAAATAGCAATCTAAAATGGGATTTACCTCCAAACTACTTTGACAAACTTCAGTCTTACCATTTTAATTCAAGGCAACGTGTTAATTAAGAGCTGCTATTTGAATAATTAAAGATTCGGAGTCAGTTGATGGAAGAAGATAGTCAATATGCATCCCAAATCAAGGGAGGATTAACAACTGATATGAAAAGAGAGTTAACTCAACACCTCCTGTAACCATAGCACAAACTTACAATGCTGCCATTGACATGGAAGAATATTAGAAAATCCACTTCCAAAAACATTTGAGTTTCAGGTCAGGGAATCCACTCCTAAATATACCTTTGGATCAGAAAGTGTGTTCAAGAATGGTCAATGTCAATTTCAAGACTCCTTCTAAAGCTACGGAAATTGTCTGTTTTAGTTGTACACGTAGACATGGGTTACAAATGGCCAAAGAAGAATAACTTGCATGTTGGAATGAAATAAAAGTGAAGATGAAAGGAAAAGATGGTGGTTATCCTATAATTATGACGGTTTACCTCCTAGTGGACAAGTAAATACCTCTCTTTCGACTGTGTAGAGTGCATATCCTTAGACCCAAAAGTCAAAGAGCAAGAAAAACCACCACGTGTTCCTATTGCTCAAGATTTTTCTCCAAAAGACAACTCTACGGAAGTACCACGTAAGGATAAACTTGACAAACCAATTGGCCAATATATTGATCAAACCTTCCTGCCAGGATTTCACATTTCTAAATGATTATGTTCCCAAATTTTTTGGCATTAACGAGAATGACAAGGACAAAGATTTTCTGATTCTATTAGTATTACTATTTCTTAGTTCAATCACACTTAATAAAGGTTGCCTAGAAAATATCTTCATAATCTCACTTTTAGATATAATTCAGTTACTCAATAAACTACTCTCAGAATTTCTCAAACTTGTTGTTTGATGCAATCAAACCATTAAGTCTGATGCTTAAGACT